GTTCGGGAGACATATTATTTCAAAAGTTATTTTGTCAAAAACAACCTTTCAAAAAAGAAGTTTATGTATGCCTAAACAGTGCTCTACTAAAATCTAAATTTAAAGCATTCTAACAAAAACAAAAACAAAACAAAACCCTTTTTTTTGAAGCAAAAAAGTGAAAGCCTATAAATTCTACTTACTCTCAGAATGGCCAAGACAACCTTGGATCTCCCTGATTGTACAGCTACTGTACTGATGGTCGTAGTAGATGGGGGTAATTCCGATAAGTCAGTGATGTCCGAGAATTTATCCGACATTTTGATAAATTTTTGAATGAAGTGCTAGCTTAGTGTTGAATAACGGCACATTTAAATCGCACAAATTTCTTGATTACAAAAGGGGACATAAGCATGAATGAATATGCATGCAGAGAGCACTGGACTAGGCTCTTAACAGCTCAAACTTTCATCTTCAACTGATTTCAGGTACACAATTCACTATACCAAAATATGGAATATTCCAAAGGATTTCCTGTCAGGGGTGTTCAATTATGCAATCAAAACATAACCTCAAAACTTCTCCCCTGTAACTTGTGAGAGTCTATCAAAATTTTCACTTATGCACCTATTTCAAATACAATATCTCAGATTTCATACTGATTAAAACTGAAATCAATTAATAAACAACTTTGTTTTCTAAAAATTGTAACACCCCTGAGGTGAAAATAATTTTCTGTTGCAGAAGATAACAGGTCACATGATCTCCCAAATATGGACAGAGGTAATTAGTGATGCTACCAGATTACCCCCAGCAGGGATGATCAGTATGCCAATTATTACTGATAACTACACATGTGTTATATAAATTAATTTGATACAGTGACAAGAAAAAATATCTTTATATAATTTCAACTTCTGTATCAATTAGTTTATTTTCAAAACAACAAATGAGATAACAATGCACTCCACATTTAGCTTTTATAAATTAGATATAAATCTCCCTGAAGTCATTTCTCTTTCTTGGCTTGTATATGAAAGACTTTGCCAAGAAAAAAATATCAAATGAAAATCTTTTTATAGTCTTTTCATTATGTAATATTTTGTTTGATATAATTTGCCAAAATGTATGTAAAAAACTTGATTTAAAAAAATGTTTACAATATGATAATTTATCAAAGTTGTATGTGATATATATTCAGATTTTGGGCAGTAAATCAGCAGTGGATGCAGTATTTGTTGTTACAAAAAGTATAAATCTTCCCTTTTCATCCATATCCCCCCAAAAGCCCTTTTTCTTTAGATAGGAGTTTGCATGAAAATGGTTTCAGACATTATTAATCTATCTATCATATTCATTCATGGTAACACTGAAAAAAATTCACAAAAAAACTGTGAAAGTAGCTCATCTTGTTAAAAGATTGATTAAACCGACAATCCAAATGGCTTTAGGTGAATTTTGTCATGTAAGCTTAAGTTGTTTGCACTGTAACAAAAAGTAATTGCTAAGTTGTATACACCATTTGGTTATGGGAATATTTGTTTTAAATGAAAGGGATTTTGATCTTTCACAAAGGTGATTGATTAGTGGTATTGGGGGGAATCAATGTAAATGGGGGGAGATTCGTCACTAAACATGCTAAAGTGGAAAGGTTAACAGGTATGAATAATAACTCTTTAATTTGCTCAACTATTCAAATTTATAAATACTGGGAAATTAACCTGCTTATAGTTATTGAAATTCATTACTTATCAGTCCAATTAAAATTAAGTTGAAATGAAAAAAATATATATATAAATAACTTGTTTAACATTAAAGGCCCTATCAATTGCATATTTGTGACTCATTACATAATACAAATGCTACTGATCCATTATAAATAGGAAGTACACACTTATTCATATAACTACTTCACATACTTTTTAATGTTTTTATTTTTAATAAAACAGAAATAGTTTTTTTTTGACATATATTTATTTTGTTTTAGATAAGATGCAACAAAATGTGATTGATTGATTGATTGTGAAACCAACTCATTATCTTTAAAAAATCATCCATAAATAGTATTGGAAAAAAAATTGAAAATTGGTTGTGAGAGAGACTTATCTTCTACAATTTAAAAAGCTTTTGTTGTCATTCAACACGAACATATTTAAAGATTAGACAGTGATGATTTTACATGGCTATTTTGTCTATTTACCTAGTTTTACATAGAACTAATCTCTAATGAAAATATTTAACACCATTTAACACTGTATTCAGCAATAGAAAACTTTCACCATTTAGTAGTTCTAATAGTTTAGGATTGATGGAAATTTGGTTTAATGCTACTCCATTTTTCCACAAGGAATTTCTTTGTTAAAAACAAATGAAGTAATCGAATGTTTACCACTACTATCTAGTTTCTTTTTATGCCTTTTGTATGAAAAAGGTTTAATTAGAAAGTTTTGTCTTCTTTGGTCCTAACTGTCTGTTCAATATTTCTGTTGATTGAGCACCATGCCCTGCCAACAATGGAACAAATAGAAGAATGCTACCTTAAACTTAAACCTGAGAAGGTACTGGTTTCACACTATCAGATTTCCATCTTCAGTAAATGGTGTAATCTGGGTCGAAACCCTTATTTGGAATGTCTATATTAAAAAGTTCACACCATAATGAACATGTGTATACTAGGTTTCAAGTTGATGAGACCACAAATTCATGATAAACCATCTTAAACCAAAACTTTAACCTGATATGGAACATACAAATGGCTGAACTGATGCAGACCAGAAAACAATATGCTTCTTCTACTAGGCGTGGAATAAAAATTCTTAAATATGAAGTTAAATCTTCACACAGCTCAATTCTTATTTGTTGTCTATTTTTAAGTCAAGGTCCTAAATTTTTAACGCATTCTGAAGAAAAATTGGGTATGGTGAAAACAAAACCTGAAAACCTGAATATTCCATTGAATTCAAAGTATGAGGTTAGGTGGAGAATACTTTGTTTTTGTTGACTAGATTTGATCTGAGAAGTTTTATATCTGGTTAAACAACAGACAAACATACATGTAGGCTTATATCACACTTTCTTTAATCAAAATTAAACAACCTGATATGTTTTTCAGTTTTTTATCTGATTCTCATCTTTAAAATATTTAAAGCATCAACAGACACTGAATAAAAACCACAAAATTCTGTTTTATCTTCAAATGAATCAGAAATGATTCTACCAAATATTTCTGATTTTGTGCCAATCTCTCTGTCTGATAGAAGACATGCATACATCTTCATTCTGTCTGGCAACAATATAGAATTCCAATAACTGTTCTACGCATTTGTTCTATGCAGTTACAGGTACAAAATGTATTGCGTTATAAAATATTTGATATATATTCACAAGTGGATATATAAGCAGTTGTTTATAAAATAACATTTTGTAAAATATTAAATTAAAAGACATGAAATCATCAAGAACTGTTCACTTAGTTGGACAAATAATACACTTGTAGAAAACTTAATATATGACAGCATTATAATCCTACTAAGATGAATAATTGCAACAAAGTTGGTTGAAAAGAACCGCCATAATTCTGAAGATTACAACAGTATAAAATGTGATGTGGTATGATTGCAAATGAGACAACTATCCAAAAGATTCCAAATGAAGCGATTTAGCAACTATAGGTAACTGTACAGCCTTCAACAATGAGCAAAACCCATAATATATAATCAGCTATAAAAGGCCACAATACGACAAAACGAGAAATAATTCTAACACTTCATATTTGGCAAAATAAACTCTAGTCTTCTAATTAGCAAGGAGATCACCTGCAATAGTTCATACATTAAAACTTCTATTATAGTGATGGTTGTCATAATTGTTGATAGGCAGGTTCATCTATAAATACTTTTTTAATGAACAGTTCACCCTAGGGATAATATTGACTTTTCATAGTTTGAAATGATTCAGAGAGGATATATCCCAAAATAATTTCTTGACTTGGTATTTGATATTTATCCCCCCAGAAATGTATATCTCAGTGACTCCCAAACCTCCACTCCCCTCCATTTACTACTCTGCAATAGTCCACAGTAAAGACAATAGATTATACTGTTATGATGTATGTTTCTACCTCACAATCATTTACCATTATATATAAACATGGTCTGGTGATATGTTATTGTCAGCCAGAAATTTGGCAACCTTCTTCTCATAACAGGTAGCAGTAATATACAATAAATATCTCAGTTATATCATTTCTAATTATAACAACACAAACACATTTAACTGTTTTACTTAGTTTAAGCTAGATTTTCTTTAAATACATGGAGAATGTATGCATGGGACACAGATGATGCCCCCACTTGCATATAACATTATAAAGGGACATAACTCAAGAACGGTAAAAGTGGCGCCACCCAAATTCAATTTTGATCTGTGTTTTATGGTAACAAGTATTTTGTATAAGTTTCATAACATTTGGTTAAGGCAAACTAAAGTTAGAGAATGGAAACTAATTTTGGGATGTACGTACGGACTGACAGACAAGGGTAACACTTAATGACGCAGCAGGGGCATAAAAATCCTTAGATCCTCTGATACATACTCTTTGATTTGTAGGAGGATTTAGTTATATGTAATTCTTTAAAAACAATGACAAAAACAGTCACCTACTTAGATCTTTTAGGTTTGTTGAATTCAGAATAGCTCCAAGCTGAATTTGATATAAAATTAATAAACCATTTTTAACCAAAAATTCAGTTGATGCAAAAAGTTTCAAAAGGTTTGAGTGATTAAGATTTTCTTCTGAACTTCGGTTTTAAATTTGGGATGTCAGTGGAGTTGAGTGAAATATAAATGTATTACAACAAAAAAAATGTAACAGAAAGTTTATATTAATTTCAAAATCTGTGTTTCTTTCATTCTTGATGTTATTAACATTCTATTGTGATTGTGAAAATAAGTCTCCATTTTTTGTCAAATTCAGTGATGAAAGCATTCTATGTTGCTGACTATATTGTTAATGACCTTACCTCCTCTAGCTGTTGTTTAAGTATATCAACTTCTTCAGGTCTCTGTTGTGTTGTCCCATATGGACCCATTTCAGCATATTGTAGATGAGGTGCCTGGTCTTCATTTCTATGTTGTTGGGCAGTATTATATGGACCAATTTCAGCATATTGGAGCTTAGGAGCTGTATCATGTCCCATTTCATCAGTAACTGGTTTCCTGTCTGTATATTGCCCTAGCTCAGCATACTGTAGTTTAGGTGCACTTTGTTTTCCATGTACTTCTTTTCTATTGTCTACTGGTGGTTGTGGGCCTGTACTATATGGACCAATGTCAGCATATTGAAGTTTTAGGGCATCTTTTTCTCCTATGTCATATGGACCAATTTCAGCATACTGAAGCCTAGGAGTAGTGTCTCTATCCATGGGCTTTTGTCCATAAGGTCCAATTTCAGCATAATGAAGTTTTCCACTGTCATCACTTCTTTGTGGCTGATGGGTCCCATAGGGACCAATTTCAGCATAATGTAAGTTAGGGGCACTAGCTTGTAATTGATTTTGGTCTTTTCTTATACTCCTTTCTCTCCTTGGTTGTTGATTATACGGACCTATTTCTGAGTAGTCACTACTTTGTAACTGATTCTGTGGACGTTTAACTGAGGCATATTCAACATGTGTAGCTGGGGCCCTAAAATTTCTAGGCATATTTGAAGCATGTAAATTTGCTTCTGATGTCCAAGGTCGTTTTGGAGTTTTTGGCACTGGTTCTTCATAAATAGATTTGTCACAATCATCAAATGCAGTGTTTGTTCGATTGGGAATAGTGGGTATTGTTCTTTGTCGCTTTGGAGAAAACACTTGATCAACTTGTGGTGGTTGTTTGGTATATTCCATTTCACCCCAGTATCGATCCATGTCCACTTTCTTATGTTCTAGTTTTCTCAGTTTGCTATTTATGGTTGCTGCAGCAGATTGGTCTTCTTGAATTTGTCTTCTAAACATAAGTCAAAAAATATTATTCATTATTTTGATAGTAGCCCAATATATATCATTATCATATTTTGATTATTTGGAGGTTTGTTTAAGCCTCTGGTAAAATATTTGAAATTCTAAGAACATTACATTGACCTATTCAGGTAACATATTCCAGCAAACAAAGTTGCTATATATATATAAGCCTACCCTGGACAAATAAAGGTATTGTTTAAAGACAAGACTAACTGGATTCAGTTTTATGTACTTGGTGTCTAAATGATTCTAGGAAAGTCATTTAAAAAAACATTGTATCAGCAACAATAGTAGAAATATGCCTTTAAAAACCTTTAAAGTCATAAATATCACTACCTTCAATATTTTGTTTTCTCAACATTTAAATTTGATTGCTCATACGTAATCTGAAGCAAATGGCCATAGTTTTAATGAAGAATCCTAGTAGTTTTTTTTATAGACAATATGAATTTTTTAATCCATCCTGGGAGTTGAAGGTATGAAGCTAAATTTTAAACAGTTAAAGGGAAGTAATTCTTGAATATATTGCAAAAATCATAAAGAGTTACCCTTCTTGTTGAACAACAGGTAAAGTTAGTCTTTCTAACAAAGCCTTTCCCATATGCATTGTATCCTTGTAATCCTCATCAACTTGATGTTTCAAGGGAGTGAACTTCTGTAATACTTCATGAACAGTTAGTTCCCTTGATAATGTCTGTGAAATAGCCAACAAGATCTTTTCAATGTTGTCAAAAATCTGTAAAAATAAAATAACATTAAACCTACATCTTTTTTTCCAGGTTCTGTAAGATTAATAAAAATTGCAAAACATGGAATATAACAATGTTAAAACTGTTTTAAAGATTATTTAAAAGACATTATTCTCAAGTTTAGATGTCTTTCTTATTCAAAACAATATCTCTTGCAGATAATCTGATCATTGCCAGTCTAGGAAAACAACTTTCACTTCAACTTGTCATGAAGGGCTTTCAAAAACAAACTTTTCACCTTTTCTACTGATGCCAAAAACATGGCAGACACTGTGAGTCTATTTGCTCTTTCATTTGTGCCTTGTGAGAATTTCCACCATGCATCTTCTAACCTCTGTGACATTTCATTGTTAGGTTCAAGGTCATGTCTTAATGATCTTCTGAGAACCAAAGCTGCTTGCAGAAGCTGTTTACCATATTCATATGTACTCTAAAATAAATAAAATGCTCCGCTGGGGCGCAGCTTGATACGACCGCAGAGGTCGAACCCTGAACAGTTGGGGCAAGTATGGACACAACATTCAAGCTTGATACAGCACTGAATTTGGATTGTGATTAAATATTTGACACAGCATAGGTTTCTGACATAGAATGAATGTGGTGTTAGAACTTAAAAATTTTATTAATTTACCTATTCAAACCATATCATTATTATTTGCTTTTATATATAAATCAGAAATAACCAATTTAAAATGGAAAATTTTAAAGAAAAAAAAGAGAAAAAAAAATCCCCCCCTAAATTTTTTGAACCCCCTTATGATTCATCACCCCCAAACTCAATCCCAGCCTTCCCTTTGAGGTATGGTACCTTGCAGTACAATTTCAGAGAGATCCATACACTTAAACACAAGTTATTGTCTGGAAACTAGAAAAATGCTTGTTTTTAGGCCCCTTTTTGGCCCCAAATTCCTAAACGTTTAGGGCAATTACCCCCAAACTCAAACCCAGCTTTCCCTTTGTGATATGGAACTTTGTAGTACAATTTCATAAAGATCAATACACTTACACACAAGTTATTGTCCTGAAACTAGAAAAATGCTTGTTTTTTGCCCCTTTTTGGCCCCTAATTCCTAATATTTGGAGGCAATTACCCCCAAAATCAATCCCAGCATTCCCTTTGTGGTATGGAACCTTGTGGTACAATGTCAGAGAGATTCATACACTTACACACAAGTTATTGTCATGCAACTAGAAAAATGCTTGTTTTTAGGCCCCTCTTTGGCCCCAAATTCCTAAACGTTTAGGGCAATTACCCCAAAATCAATCCCAGCATTCCCTTTGTGATATGGAACCTTGTGGTACAATGTCAGAGAGATTCATACACCTACACACAAGTTATTGTCATGAAACTAGAAAAATGCTTGTTTTTTGCCCCTTTTTGGCCCCTAATTCCTAAAATTTGGAGGCAATTACCCCCAAAATCAATCCCAGCATTCCCTTTGTGATATGGAACCTTGTGGTACAATGTCAGAGAGATCCATACACTAACACACAAGTTATGCCTGGAAGTTACAAAAATGCTTATTTTTGGCCCCTTTTTGGCCCCCAATTCCTTAACTGTTGGTACCATAACCCCCAAAATCAATCCCCACCTTCCTTTTGTGGTATTGAACCTTATAGTAAAGTTTCAAAGAGATCCATTCATTTAAAATAAAGTTAGAGTGCGAAAACCAATGTGTCTTCGGACGACGACAGCATCATACCAATATACGACCACAAAATTTTTTTGCGGTCGTATAAAAATGCATTCAAATCAACAATTAAATTTTCTATTTTCAGAAGTTTTATAGTCACCAGATTTCTGTAGTAATAATAATCATGATAATTCCTTTGAATGCAACAAAAAGCATCAGAATCTTGTAATAAATATATGCAAGTTTAGTTCCAATTCCAAGTAAGGGAGCATTCTGAAAAGTTCAGTAAAGATGAATTCATTCCTTAATAATAAAATTGTCTACTGATCATAAAACGCAAATATTAATCTTCTATTTTGTTCACATGACCACTCATGTATTTGTGGAAATATTATAATTTTTTGCAAAATAAAGGCCTATTAAAAAATGCTGACAAACCTGAGCAGTTGATTCAAACTTTTTGTGATCATTCTGTAGCTTCTCTGCCTCTTCATGAGTTTTACCCATGTTAGTATGAGTATTAGCCATTACTTGACATAACTCTAAAATCCACATTATAGCCTAAAATATACAATCAATTTATAATTGTCTTGTGTAATAAAAGAGCAAATTTCAGTTTGTTGATTTTTAATTGAAACCAAGGTTGAGTTTAGAAATTGGTTGCATTTTTAGAAGTTGTATATACCTCTAAAATTTAGAAATTATTTGTGTGTGGTAATGTTTTGTACTTGTGTGGTAGCTTTTCTGTGTTTCAGGAGATATTGGTATTTGTGATATAATTGCCTGTTCACATGTACATAGCTAGAGTTTTTGTCATTATTTTATCTGTTAAGCATCATGTTCACATGTACACGTCAACAAAATTTGTCATAGTTTTACCTGTTAAATATCATGCTCACAGCTGTGATATTTGTTATAATTTTACCTGTTCAGCATCATGTTCACATGTACACAGCTGGAGTTTTTGTCATTATTTTACCTGTTCAGCATCATGTTCACATGTACATGTCAACAGAATTTGTCATAGTTTTACCTGTTAAATATCATGTTCACAGCTGTGATATTTGTTATAATTTTACCTGTTCAGCATCATGTTCACATGTACACGTCAACAGAATTTGTCATAGTTTTACCTGTTAAATATTATGTTCACAGCTGTGATATTTGTTATAATTTTATCTGTTCAGCATCATGTTCACATGTACACGTCAACAGAATTTGTCATAGTTTTACCTGTTAAATATTATGTTCACAGCTGTGATATTTGTTATAATTTTATCTGTTCAGCATCATGTTCACATGTACACGTCAACAGAATTTGTCATAGTTTTACCTGTTAAATATTATGTTCACAGCTGTGATATTTGTTATAATTTTACCTGTTCAGCATCATGTTCACATGTACACAGCTGGAGTATTTGTTGTAGTTTGAGTTTTCTAACATCAGCCAGTTCATCACATCGTAACTTTCTTTCTTGTAATTCCTCTAGTGATTGGTTAATGTGTTTGATATGACGTGAGTAGTCTGGTGTAATGTCTTTCCCGGAAGCATTTTTAATTGGTCGAGACATCTCATCCAACAGACTCTGTCCATCACCCAATGTAGACTGTGCTGCTGAATCTACAAAATATAAAATTATTAAACATGGAACAATAAGTTTATATTATCATTGTGGGTATCAGATGGAAACTGCAGACAAAAGGTTATATATACCTAGAAATAAATATCAAACAAAGTGCTTTTCCAGCTGCTGATGATTATAAATTATAAATCATGTACGAATAATGAATTTGTTTCACTTTAAATCTATCAATTTGTAAGAACTATTTATTCTATGAAATCACTTATATAATAAATTTATCTTATTTTGGCCAAAAATTTCTCCTAACATGTGAATGCTCCAGCATCCCACAAGACTAATGTCATCAAGTTGGTTATCTATGTTTTTTAACAGCCATTTCATGTAACTTACTTATAGCATCACATTTGTCCTCCAGAATTTTCAGTTCTTTTTCTACTGATTTCACATCCTCACATTCTGGTTCAGAACATACCAACTCCAACAAATCATCTAATTTCTTAGAAAACTGAAACCACAAATTTTTTAAATTTTACTATGCATTAAAAATGTAAAACGCTGTTGCAACCTTTTGGTTATATCATACTGTACTTCTTGCCTGAATCTGCATGTCAAATATTGCCATAAAAAAACCTTGTTTCTCTTTTCTTTTCTTAATTCAGATGGATACTCTTTATACACCTAAGCACTTCTATTCCTTTGTAGATGTTAAATGTAAAATAAAAGTTACCCTTTTGTTGTGAATTGTTATCCAAATAATTATTCATGTGCAACAGTTGATAAACAGCTTGTAATTTTTTTTTAGTTTGTTTTAATGTTGTGCTGTTTTATCACTGACTAAGGTTATAGGGAGGTTAAGAGCTCACGAACATATTTGACCACACCACATTCTTTATGTGCCTGTCCCAAGCCATGAACCTGTATTGTAATGGTTGTCATTGGATGCTGTTTGCCATAATTGTTTTTTGTTTAATGTTATTAACTCTTTTGAATTGTTTCACAATTTGTTTCCTAAGGCTATTTATGGTTTATTATACCCAATGGGTTTTTTCTCATTGTTGAAGGTCTTAGGGTGACCTGTAAAGGTTTACATTCTTGTCCTTTGGTGTTTGTTGGATAGTTGTCTCATTGGCAATCATACCACATCTCCCTATTCTGTTCTGTTCTCAGGGTAGTAATATAGATAACCTGGACAAGAACCATAATGGTCAACATATCAAGACCCCTTTTGTAGATTACGAACCTCTACAAAAGATTAATTTTCTGTCTCTACCCAAGTTTTCATATATTTCATATGGCAGTTAAAAATTGTTCCCTTTTTATGTACCATTCAATACCTTTTTTTTATTTCATGAACTAACATTTTGAAAATTTCAATAATAAGACAAAGGCACATGTTACACAGTGGTGTTCGTCAAGTAAGGAGACATACAGTTACCTACATTGAGACCTACCAGAACCCAAAAACAAAATATTAAAGAACAAACTGTTAATGTGTTTACTTATTTTCTCTAAGCCGGTCAGTTCAATTCGAATATTTTATCAGGAGCAACTTTAAAACTTGCAAGATGATGAAACAAATATTGATCAATTGATTTTACCAGAAAATAACCTGTTTCACCTCTTTTTTGATTCAATACCTAACAACTTTTAAATAGCTCTTGATAAAATAAAAAAAGAAGAAACCACTTGCACACAAAAATTGATTGCAACATGAATAGGTTATGAAGTAATAATTAATCACAAAAAAGAAGTTCTGGTCAATAGGTAAACAGGTAAAATGCACAATAGCACTTCATAGAAAAGTAAAATAACCAGAGAAAACAGCAGAATCTTTAGTCCAACCAGAGAAAACAGCAGAAACTTTAGTCCAACCAGAGAAAACAGCAGAAACTTTAGTCCAGCCAGAGAAAACAGCAGAAACTTTAGTCCAACCAGAGAAAACAGCAGAAACTTTAGTCCAACCAGAGAAAACAGCAGAAACTTTAGTCCAACCAGAGAAAACAGCAGAAACTTTAGTCCAACCAGAGAAAACAGCAGAAACTTTAGTCCAGCCAGAGAAAACAGCAGAAACTTTAGTCCAGCCAGAGAAAACAGCAGAAACTTTAGTCCAGCCAGAGAAAACAGCAGAAACTTTAGTCTAACCAGAGAAAACAGCAGAAACTTTAGTCCAACCAGAGAAAACAGCAGAAACTTTAGTCCAACCAATCACACATGAAAACAAAGTGGTTAATCCAAGATTCAGATCACATTAGGAACTTAAAGCATTTCAGAATTCAAAGTATTGTTAGGAAGCTTTTTTTCAAAAGATTACAAAAAAAAACATACATGACCAAAGCATACATGACCAAAACAAACACACAACACATAAACTTGTACCTTTCCAAATTCAATCCAAAACTGTCTCTTTTTAAGGACAATATAATTTAGTTTACAATGAAAATCTATCATAAAAATCATGTTTATTAATTTTAGGTTTTGTATATACCTTGTTATATACATTTAAACTTGTCTGTGATGTTCTGTAAGGGTTTTGTTTTTCAAATTGTTCAAATCTCAGTGAATAAATGAACAGTATGTTGATATATGCCAATGTCTATAATACTACTAAAAGTTTATCAGGTTTATTTCCAGCACGGGATTATTCAGTTAAATCTTGACAGTATACTTACTGATTTGTGTTTCTGAAAGATTGTTTTGACAAGTTTTAAAATAATATATATTAATTTCAAAGCATTTGTTGTCAATACAGGTCTGATGTAAACTTCCCTGTTCCAATCTTATTCAAATATATAAACCATAAATTGTGTAACCAAAACCTAAACCAATAGAATCTGTTTAACAAAAACATATACCATCATTAATCATTCTAGGACAAATCACATGCCACAAGATTAAAACTTCTAAATTTAGTTCACAAGAGTGAAGATTGAAATAAAACTTAATACGGCAAGGACAGGGGCTCAATTTATTGAATTCTTCCAAAAACTAAAATTTAATTCTATTTCATCTTTTCATCCTAAGCTCAACTTTTAATTTTATTGAAATATCAGTTTTATAAGTCATGTAAAGAAAACCCATTCTATTACAATATTTATAATTATTGTTATGAAAGAATTGTATTAGGGACAATATTGTATAAACCTATCAAATTCTAAATCTTATTTTTCTAAATATCAACAAGGGAGATAATCAGGGTGAAATACACTGAATACAGGGTCGCTTGTTTGTATCTAGTTTCAACCATTAATTCCCTAACAGAAGCTGTAAACTACTTTTTAGTAGCATGTTTGAAGCAACCAAGTAAACATGATATATCTTATTATTTTGATTATACCTCTTGTGCCAGCCTATGGAATCTAACCGATGTAATTAACAAGTTCCTCCGTCTTTCTAATCGGCTGGCAAAGCTCCTGAACACTGTATCCATGTAATCTCTTGTTGATCTAATGTCTTCTGCTCCTGTTGGATCTTCTGCTATCAATTCATCTGCCTTATGTCGTAGTTCAGCATACTGACCATAAGTGTCCTAATAAAAATATCATATTTTATCATTTATCTTTTATCATATACAAGTGTGATAAATTACAAATTATCACAAATGAATAAAATAAATAAGAAAATGTCAACATATGTATGATAATATATACTTTTTTTGCATTCTTTCAGTTTTTTGTTTCAAAAAGAAACAAAATAAATGGAAAATGTGTCCCCATGAACACAGATGATGCCCCCACTTGCATACGACATTATAAAGGGACATAACTCAAAAACAATACAAGTGACGCTACCCAAATTTGTATTAGATCTGAGTTTTGTGGTAATAAGTATTGTGTATAGGTTTCACAATGTTTGGTTGGGGCAAACTTAAGTTACAGAACGGAAACTAAAAATTTTGCAATTTTTCGATTTATAAAGGGGCATAACTCCATAATGGTTTAAGGGACGCCACCAAAATTCAACTTGATCTGTGTTTTGTGGTTATGAGCATTGTGTATAAGTTTCATAACATTTGGTTGAGGCAACTTAAGTTAGAGAACGGAAACTAAAAATTTTGGAATTTTTCCATTAATAAAGGGGCATTACTCTAGAATGGTTAGAGTGACGCCACCAAAATTCAAACTTGATCTGTATTTTGTGGTAATAAGCATTGTGTATAAGTTTCATAACATTTGGTTTAGGCAAACTCAAGTTAGAGAACGGAAACCAATTTTGGGACGTACGGATGTACGTACGTACGTACAGACGGACAAGGGTAAAACTTAATGCCCCCTCCGCTACGGCTGGGGCATAAAAACTTACTTGTGAGTGTAAGCACTCACTTTGGACTCTGCTCATTAGATGATTCAATTCTTTTTGTTAGCACTTAAACCTTCAATACTTGGACATACATATCCCTCCAACATAGAATTAACTTCTTCATTTAATTTATTTTCATTTTTTTTTCATTCTTATCTTAATGTCGCATTGATTTAGTGCTTTAGAAGTCTTTTCAGATGGAAAGCATCCATTTAATAGACTTTCAAGGTATCATAAGCACTGTGTAATTTTCTTTTTTTGTAAAGTTACCTCTGCTACATAAAATAATCTCCTATACATACTGTGCACTTTATTTCTAGCTCCTCATGTCGTTTCCTTAAAACATCAGCTGTTTCATAAGAATCCCCAATATCTGTCTGAGATGCCAACAATTTTTCTCCTGGTCCTAAAATCCAGCTCAAAACCTATCAAAAATTAACTCATATGATTTTTTCCAATCTACATAGATTTAGAGAGGTTAAAAAACAATGGCAGCCATGCATGATGTTAGCTTCTTTTGTTGACAAATGTACCCTCAATAAGTCTTTTTTGTTTGTGATCATTCCTTTTTTATTGAAAGTCAACATACAGTCTTCAACAATAGACAAGAATTTATATAATTGTTATGATATGTTCATTTAAATCCTCAAATACCAACAACTAATATATCCTGAGCCTACTCAAAACAAAATCTGTCACAACTACAGTACATTCCGGTTATTTGCATAGCCTATTTGTCAGACAAAATTATGAAATAGAGCGGACTATGCTTATATCCGAAATGCCAAATTACGGAGTCAAATAACATCGATAGAACAGATCAGTAAAGGAAATCCCTGGAGAAAGATGAACGTCTATAATCCAATTACAACATATTGAATGCTGATTTATTCTAATAAAAGTTATATGTCTAGTGTCATACATGTTATTTTATTTTGTATTATTTCAATAAAGATTATAAACACATTTTGTTTTAGTTTATTTGCGTACAGACGTTTCCTTTACCAGTTTACCTGGGATTCGAAAATAAATTCGTTCTAAAAATAGATTTGTTTCTATGACCCGTATGTACAATGTACATTGTTACGCTTTGATTAAAATAAACTGTTTAACAAAATTACACAGTTTATAATCATTTTAACAATAGATGTGTACTAAACTGCCTTTGATATACAATATTTACAGCTTGCAGAGTGAAGTAACACTGTTTATTTAACTTCGTTAGTTTCGTATATGCAAAGCAGTAATGGGGCCCTATACGGGTTATTTGCTGGACACGAGTATTGAAAGTGAGAAAATATAATAATTAGAAGTAAATGCTCTTTTCAAAATATATTAAAATTAAATGATTGATGTATAAAATTCTTTAACCATATATAAATGCCCTGTAATATTTAACATAAATGCAGATCACCCCAAGCCCAATTATGAGAGTTCACATTGGATAATGATCGATAATTAGCAGGCGTTATTGTTTTTGAATTTCATCCCAAATGTAATCTATGGACAATGTTTGAAATCCAATCAATTATTTACACCTTTTTAGATAGAATGATCAGTGTTTTTACAACAATTACCTGTTTGACATTTTTATGACCTCGAGGCTTAAAATAGAACATGGGAAACTTTACCTGTGTAGATCTCGAGGTTTATTTTCAAATCAAATTCAATCATATAAACATGAAAGAAACTGTTTTAAAACTTTATTTGAATAACACAAAAGTAAATATGAAATAATAATGAAAATAATGATGCATTCAAGAAAAATATACCCACCAACTTGCCGTTTCCAGTCAAAAATTTCGACAGATTTAACCAAGCATATCTAGATGGCGATAATTTTTTATGCAATAAACCGAAAGGCCACTTGTAGAGCTATGCATATAACCGGACAATTTAACATTAGATGAATGGGAAATGGTTTTGTGCAGGAGAAAACTATGCAATTAACCGAATTATGCTATTCAGCGGTATGCAATTAAGTGGAGTCGACTGTATTTACATCTGTTTCCACTTACTGTGGATTCATTGTTATTCGTTGGATACCAATTTTCGTGGATTTCGTGGGTACAGAGAAACCACAAATTTAAATGTTCAGCGGATAACAAATTTATTGTATGATTATATGCAGATTTTTGAAAAACCAGGAAATCAAATATCCACGAAAATGCAAGTATTCCTCAATCCACGAAAATTGGTACCCATGAAAATAAATGAATCCACAGTAACAGTCATAGAAAAAGGTTTTCATGATTGTATGGATGAGTGGATCATGTTTAACACCCAGTGGCAAATATTACATGCACATCAGAACATGTTGACATGATATAATTGTGAACCCTGGTTTGTACTATACAGACATCCTGAGCCAGATTTTTCATGTGCTAGAAAACAAGGTCCACAGGAAGGCATATCCTATTTGGACACATAATTCTGACCACGAGCCGACCAGTCTTTGCTCTTACACCTAAATGCTGTGTGCTTACTAGTGAAGCATTTGAAAATACAACTTTTCAAGTCTTTGGTTTAACCCAGCCAGTGATCCTTCCTATAACCCTTAACTGACTAACCAAGATGTCAATATCATCTCTATTGATTTGATTTTTTATATTGATGATGAATGTATACACATGACATAACCAGATTTAAAATACAAATCAGTTGAGAATTTTTTTTTAAATTTTGATATAGAATTGATACCTACATTTTAAGAGACAAACCAAGCGAAACTTAAATTATTGATGTGGATATCGCAAATGAAGCAGATAAATACAACATAAACTAACTTTAAACACTTTATCCCTATTGTGACTCTCATCTATGAGCCTAGTTAGGGATAAGGTGACTACATCATGTCTTGGACATACTACAACTGAAGGTGGGCATGCTACCACAGGATTACAGAGGAGGTTTTTTATGATTGTAAAATCATTGATTTTTTTCCCCTTTCAGATACTTACTGCTTTGATGTGTCTCTGTAAATCCTCAAACTTCTGATTAGTGATAACTGATCTATCCTGGTCCTCCAACAGATTCTCCAACTTTTCAATACGATTCTCCATATATTGGATCAGTCTTTTCACTTGTTTCTGTGCCTCTAGGTGGTCTAAGGTACTCACATGTTCCTCCTCACCAGGAGGTATTACAACTTCCTCTTGATGGTGTAATCTGTTTAACAGATCCTTACCTACAAAATTCACATTTAAGAACTTGTGAACAACAAAATGTCAACTCATTGTATATGCAATCACTAAATAATTTTAAGATGTGCGTAATTTGCAAATTCATAAAACTCTATCACTGCAACAGCTAATTCTGCAAAACTAATATTGCATGATTTCAACTGGAAATAAAGCATCAAAAGATTTCTGAATGGTATCTTCAAGGACAATGTTTCTAAACCAAAGAATGAAAAACAAATCGACTTAAGACCTGTACATGTCTTGGTTTTCTTTGGTATTGGGTTGCTGTCTCATAATAGTTCAGAGGATGTCTTGGTTTTCTTTGGTATCGGGTTGCTGTCTCATAATAGTCCAGAGGAAGACATGTCACCTTACCAAGAAGCATTTTTCCAACTCTGAGACGACAAGTCTTTGTGCTTAATCCTAAATGCAAATACCAATGTTCAAGTCTTTGGTTCGACCTGGCCAATCAACAACTTCCCTAATGCTAAAGCAATTGCTTCAAAATATCCTTGATTTAACACTAGTGGTTCCCCTTAAAATGTCCTAATCACAAACTTTTAACATTTAAAATATGCAAAAGTTTCAAAGTGTGTAGTCCATGACTGGGGGGAGGGGGCAAATCATCTCCATGGATATGAGATGTGCTAATGCTAATACTTCATACCAAATACTTACTAAGACTTACCATCCCTGATAACTTATGAAGGGAAATGTAATGTTTCCTGTCATACATATCCTAGTAGACTTACCATCCCTGATAACTTGAGAAGGGACATGTAATATTTCCTGTCATACGTATTTGTTTTAATAGACTTACCATCCCTGATGACTTGTGAAGGGACATGTAATATTTCCTGTCATAGGTATTTGTTTTAATAGACTTACCATCCCTGATAACTTATGAGGGGACATGTAATATTTCTCGTCATACATATCCTAGTAGACTTACCATCCCTGATAACTTGTGAAGGGACATGTAATATTTCCTGTCATACATATTTGTTTTAATAGACTTACCATCCCTGATGACTTGTGAAGGGACATGTAATATTTTCTGTCATACGTATTTGTTTTAATAGACTTACCATCCCTGATAACTTGTGAAGGGACATGTAATATTTCCTGTCATACGTATTTGTTTTAATAGACTTACCATCCCTGATAACTTGTGAAGGGACATGTAATATATCCTGTCATAGGTATTTGTTTAAATAGACTTACCATCCCTGATGACTTGTGAAGGGACATGTAATATTTCCTGTCATACGTATTTGTTTTAATAGACTTACCATCCCTGATAACTTGTGAAGGGACATGTAATATTTCCTGTCATACCTATCCTAGTAGACTTACCATCCCTGATAACTTGTGAAGGGACATGTAATATTTCCTGTCATACGTATCCTAGTAGACTTACCATCCCTGATAACTTGTGAAGGGACATGTAATATTTCCTGTCAAACGTATCCTAGTAGACTTACCATCCCTGATAACTTGTGAAGGGACATGTAATATTTTCTGTCATACATATTTGTTTTAATAGACTTACCATCCCTGATAACTTGTGAAGGGACATGTAATATTTCCTGTCATACGTATTTGTTTTAATAGACTTACCATCCCTGATAACTTGTGAAGGGACATGTAATATTTCCTGTCATACGTATTTGTTTTAATAGACTTACCATCCCTGATAACTTGTGAAGGGACATGTAAAATTTCCTGTCATACATATCCTAGAAGACTTACCATCCCTGATGACTTGTGAAGGGACATGTAATATTTCCTGTCATACGTATCCTAGTAGACTTACCATCCCTGATGTCTTGTGAAGGGACATGTAATATTTCCTGTCATACGTATCCTAGTAGACTTACCATCCCTGATAACTTGTGAAGGGATATGTAATATATCCTGTCATACATATCCTAGTAGACTTACCATCCCTGATAACTTGTGAACGGACATGTAATATTTCCTGTCATACGTATTTGTTTTAATAGACTTACCATCCCTTATAACTTGTGAAGGGACATGTAATGTTTCCTGTCATACATATCCTAGTAGACTTACCATCCCTGATAACTTGTGAAGGGACATGTAATATTTCCTGTCATACGTATTTGTTTTAATAGACTTACCATCCCTGATAACTTGTGAAGGGACATGTAATATTTCCTGTCATACATATCCTAGAAGACTTACCATCCCTGATGACTTGTGAAGGGACATGTAATATTTCCTGTCATACGTATCCTAGTAGACTTACCATCCCTGATGACTTGTGAAGGGACATGTAATATTTCCTGTCATACGTATCCTAGTAGACTTACCATCCCTGATAACTTGTGAAGGGACATGTAATATTTCCTGTCATAGGTATTTGTTTAAATAGACTTACCATCCCTGATGACTTGTGAAGGGACATGTAATATTTCCTGTCATACGTATTTGTTTTAATAGACTTACCATCCCTGATAACTTGTGAAGGGACATGTAATATTTCCTGTCATACGTATCCTAGTAGACTTACCATCCCTGATAACTTGTGAAGGGACATGTAATATTTCCTGTCATACGTATCCTAGTAGACTTACCATCCCTGATAACTTGTGAAGGGACATGTAATATTTCCTGTCAAACGTATCCTAGTAGACTTACCATCCCTGATAACTTGTGAAGGGACATGTAATATTTTCTGTCATACATATTTGTTTTAATAGACTTACCATCCCTGATAACTTGTGAAGGGACATGTAATATTTCCTGTCATACGTATTTGTTTTAATAGACTTACCATCCCTGATAACTTGTGAAGGGACATGTAATATTTCCTGTCATACTTATTTGTTTTAATAGACTTACCATCCCTGATAACTTGTGAAGGGACATGTAAAATTTCCTGTCATACATATCCTAGAAGACTTACCATCCCTGATGACTAGTGAAGAGACATGTAATATTTCCTGTCATACGTATCCTAGTAGACTTACCATCCCTGATGTCTTGTGAAGGGACATGTAATATTTCCTGTCATACGTATCCTAGTAGACTTACCATCCCTGATAACTTGTGAAGGGACATGTAATATATCCTGTCATACATATCCTAGTAGACTTACCATCCCTGATAACTTGTGAACGGACATGTAATATTTCCTGTCATACGTATTTGTTTTAATAGACTTACCATCCCTTATAACTTGTGAAGGGACATGTAATGTTTCCTGTCATACATATCCTAGTAGACTTACCATCCCTGATAACTTGTGAAGGGACATGTAATATTTCCTGTCATACGTATTTGTTTTAATAGACTTACCATCCCTGATAACTTGTGAAGGGACATGTAATATTTCCTGTCATACGTATTTGTTTTAATAGACTTACCATCCCTGATAACTTGTGAAGGGACATGTAATATTTCCTGTCATACATATCCTAGAAGACTTACCATCCCTGATGACTTGTGAAGGGACATGTAATATTTCCTGTCATACGTATCCTAGTAGACTTACCATCCCTGATGACTTGTGAAGGGGCATGTAATATTTCCTGTCATACGTATCCTAGTAGACTTACCATCCCTGATAACTTGTGAAGGGACATGTAATATTTCCTGTCATACATATCCTAGTAGACTTACCATCCCTGATAACTTGTGAACGGACATGTAATATTTCCTGTCATACGTATTTGTTTTAATAGACTTACCATCCCTGATAACTTGTGAAGGGACATGTAATGTTTCCTGTCATACATATCCTAGTAGACTTACCATCCCTGATAACTTGTGAAGGGACATGTAATATTTCCTGTCATATGTATATAGAATAACCATACATTGTCTCCAAATATAAATTTTATTTGTGCAAGGCTTAGAAACAGGTAGAAAGCGAGGCTTTGACAAGCAGTTCTAACCTGCTTTGAGGCGAGTACAAATAAAATTTATATTTTGAGACAATTTATGGTTATTCTTTGTATACTGCAACTCCTACAACTGTTCCCTAATGAAATATTTTAGAATTTGGAGCAAACGACTTAAAAAATTCCGCGAACCTGTACTTTTAATGACATCTTAAATAAAACTCTACGGAAACGCATTATTAACGTCATAAACAAGGCGATATATGGTCAGTGACTGTATATCACAAATGATTATACGGTCAATGCAATTTGACTGCGCAAATAGAACAGCTGCAGTATATATCATAAAAGACTTACCATCCCTGATAACTTGAGAAGGAACATGTAATATTTCTTGTTGTAAATGTTTGTGTTGTCTAGCTGACTCTAAAGGACTTGACGGTTCTCGTCTGCTCAGTGTTTGATGTATCTGATATTCTACATTGTCTAAGTGGTTAGATGCTGCTCTTGTTTCTCTGATAAACTTCTCCAGGTCCTACAAAGTCAATTTAAATCAAAATCAATGTTTTACATCAATTAAAATATTTGTTTTGTGAGTTCTCAAACAGTATTTTACTGCCCACAATCACACAGACCACTCTATCTGATAGTACAAAATACTTTCTTGTAATCATAGTGTGTAATCTGCATGTTTATTTCTAAGTTTTTCAAGAAACAATTCATTTAATATCTAAATATTTGTCATCAGAAATTCTACCCCAAACAATTTCATTTTTTATTTCTTTCTTGCAGCAATTATAATAAAATTAGCTTTTCTTAATATAACTATATTGATACAAAAATTGCATCATGTACTGTTAAAAATATATTTTTGGGTCTTTTGTTTTGAAGTAAACTTTGAATTTCCTTTTGAAATGAATCCTAAAATCAATTGTTACTAAATTAAATAGGATTGACAAAATGTACTCTGAACTTTTGCTCACTATAATTATATACCTTGGGTTTAAAGAGGGTCGTAATGGGGGTACCTTCGTGACAAATAACGGTAAAAAAATCTTACCAAATGACGTTAACGGTAAGTTTTAGTGTATGACGATAAAATGTGCATTTTTTATGACATTAAAAAAATCAACTGATTTTGACGAATCACGTTAAATTCTTTCCAAAAATAACGGTTAGGGATGATTATTTTAGACATCTGACGAATCACGATAAGAATATTTTGACGAATCAAGATAAAATTTTAACCAATTTGACGCTAACGGAAGCTTAAAATGACCGTTTGACACCTGACGGTAAAGGGCATTCCTATCCTCTTAATAGATATGAGTTTTAGCCAAACAGGAAGTCAAATACTTAAGAAACTGAAAGCATGTCACGATACGGCAATTAACCAGAGGAAGTTAGGTGCCACATATGTACAAAATCTAGTTGTTAAGAAAATGCACCAGAAATGTGTTACAGACAAACAGAGATAAACCGGTATACATCCTCCAAAGGTTAAATAATATACTAACTAGTCTATTTCTCAACCAAATATCATGACGATAGGACAGGGTGCCATCAAACATAGCTGTCAACTGGTTCCTGTCAACAAATGTATACAGACGATTCACAGAAACAAACTGAGGCTGAAACAGAAAGTAAACTTATTACCTATAATGTTTTTGTTATAAGTTTTAAGCTACAATGGAAATTACCGTCTTTAGGTGTGTATAGTACACAGGTTTTTTACCCTGGGAATGATTTCTGAAAAGGGTGGTGCATATTATGTATGGCTACACTGTTCTTGACACTTTTTTCAGGCTGAATTCCGATCAAGAAACCAGGTGGTCTGGAGGAAAATATTTTCGTAGCATAAACTTGATTGTTGTTATGTTTTACATGTATATTTGTACCCTTTTGTATCTGATTTGTAATGTTATATGCAAATAAAAATCATTTAAATGCTTTAGAAGTTGTTTTTTTTGCGTTTTCTTGTGTTCTCCGCTGCCACCTGGAAGTTGCATTTGATCATGTCCAAATTAGAGATGAAGGATTCTGTCAATGGCCAAATTAGTGTAGGTGTTTCAAGTTTATTACTTACTTTGTATATGTGTTCTAACATGGAATACAGAAGGTAAATGTATGAAAATTGAATGAAACACGAGCCACTGCCATTGTTTTTTACTTTTGTAGTATCAGGTGATCACGTGTCATGTGACTTTTTAACGGTTGTGAAGTTGAATAAAGTGATGATTTTAAACATGTCTTTTTTCTTTGTAACATTTATTAAAAAACCTTCATACAATTCATATATGCAGACATGTCAATGCCATCTTGTAAACTGTACTGATTTGATTAAAGAACAAAATTTATCTGTCAATTGATTTGTTTTGACGACGATTAGACTTCCTTATTGATATTTAATAAGAGTGTGATAATCCGGATTAAACGATTCAATGAGTACCAAAAAACAATAAATAAAATGAGCAGAGATTAAAATTTATTTCAGCACTAATTTATCAACATAAATATTACAATTTATTTATTTATTGTCTATTTAGGAATATTCATAATGATTACCTATTCCATACAACATTCACCGACTACGAATTGCATTTAAACAACCTCCCGATTTAACACTTCCTGTTGTTCTCAATCAAACACATCCGTGGAAACAATAAAGAATCAAACATCGTTTGCTAAATTATTTATTCTGTAACAATGTTTTCATTACCATGTAATCAATCAGGACTGGAGTTCAATTTGTCTCCAAAAAAGAAATCATTTTCAATGGACACATTATACAGAGTTTCAAGTTGGGATTTTTCCAGAAAGTCCCTGAACGTAAAGCATAAGAAGAAACTTTTTTTCTCGTTTCAAGGGTGAAAAAGGGGGTGCATGAGTGCATTTTATACCCACCAAAAGATGGTAGCTATTTTCCTTAAATGTAACATTAAAATCCAAGTACTTCATCTCTTTCAATGTTTCTTGTAATGCATTGTACTTGAAATGACAATTCAATAATAAAGCAATCTCTAGGCACTGTAATTTCAAATGCTAAACACATCTGTTCTTTTTTTTTTTAATGAAGTGCTTTTAAATTTGTGATTACCTTTTTAACAGCTTCCTATATCATATATATATATATATAGTACATCTTTGTGTTAATAATTGCTTGACCAGATACTTCCATACAATACAATTTACTTTTGGCAAATCAGCAGCAATTTTGATTATCAAATTAAAATTTTAAACCAAATTTGAAAGGACTGATAATCAAAGGTGTTTACCTCTATATTTGGTCTGTCCCTTCTAAAACTATTACTACTTGGACGTCTTTCAGCATGACTGTCAGGTTTCACAACCAGTACTTGTTTAAGTAAGTCACCTAATGATTCCTGGAGAGAGAAAAAAAACATGCTAAAAATTATGGACAGAATCACACAACAAAATTTAAGTTTTTAATTGCAACACAGAAATAAAAATGATTTTGAATTGCTATCATTTCTATCTTTAATTCATATAGACCATTTTAAGGCAAGTCTGTAAAACATAACAATCCTACGAGTGTAGTTACATGTACTCCTGATGTACTGTAAGCTAGCTACTAGTCACCAATAAATATTGCAGATCTTTTGACTGAAAATTTCATTAATCTCTTTTCAACTTAAGGACACACATTTGTTCCTTAAACAAGAAATAGGGTGAGGGAAGGATTTTAGAACATGTCAAATGGTTGATTTCACAAAAATACTTACGACTAAGATTGATCGTAAGTCATGAACAATTCAGTATACTTACGATCAATCTTAGTCGTAAGATTTTTTGTGAAACTGACTCCTGGCTTGCTACAAAATATCCAGAAGATATGGTTGATAGTTGATGAAAACTTAACATAAATATATTTAACATGTAAGAAGTACAAGTATTCAGTAAACAGACAGCTGATGAGCAAGAGATCTGAAAATGTATTACACAGTTTATCTAACTTAAATAAAGCTCGATACCAAATATCCAGAATATGAAGAAGTTGTGATTTTGTAGTCTCAGACAGAGTTCACTGAAAAAGTTTGGTTAAATGATACTCTGAAATAAGTATCTGAAAGCAATCAAAGATTGGATGTTGTCCTGAAAAAGCAGAGATATAAAAATTGACATAATACTTCAAGGTCTTAAATGAAGTACACTACCTTTAAACATCCTAATACTGTTACCAGATTGGACCAGGAACCATCTCTACTATCAATTACAACAGTTATTCCCCTTCTCTTTGATTCTTCACTGAAACAGATGGCAAATTTGCTAGATTTATATTTTAGAAATTTTAGTACAACAGTACTGAAAATTTAGAAATTAATGTGTGCATTTATATAATATTAATCACTGATTCCTGGTAAAAATATGAGATGTAATTAATGGGAATGCAAATTTTGTGAAGGAAAATCACTGCGGAAATTATGAATGCAAGTTTTTATTATTACTGATACTGTTGCATTTTTCGCATTGACAGTACCAAAAATATCGCAATAATTTTGGAATTTATAGTATTTAATATATACTAATTCGATGTTTTAACCATGCACACCAAATAATGGTAAGTAAAAACATTGTTTATATGTTAACTGTTATTATAACAAATTTTATAGTTATGTGAAAACCAAAAATTAGTAGATATTCATGATCAGTTTAGTGTATAATTCTTGTCTCTGTGATGTGTACAATATATCTTTTTCTATTCATATATATGCCTTCTTCCAGTAGAAACTAACCTTGGTATCTGTGACAGATAGTTCATGCATGTGGTGATATCTTCTGAATTAAAGTTTGGCTGTTGTCTGTGGGGTGGGAAAGTTACAACTGGGCCTCCTTGTCTATCTCTACCACCTGCAAATAAAAAAGTTATGGGAACATGCAACTGATAAGTTTAAATTTCTTTACCTATCTATGTTATACACATATTAGATTAGTTCTTTTGTAAGTGGACTGTGTGATATGATATATTTGCCATTTTGTGAATAATGTTCAAATTTAATATCTAAAGTTTGAAGTTATTCACTGGTAACCTCATTTGTTATGATATTACATGTACTTTTTCATCTATTACAAAAATCTTCCTACATGCAGTTAACTTTTATATGTGTTTTATATATGGAACAAAGAACTGTCTAGGAGAATTCAATGCATGGAAAATGCTTAAATATATTAAGCTCTAGGTAAATGTTTTCATAAATAGTATTATGATCTTTATTTATTTTTGTATAGGTATTTTTTTAACAAATCCTTTGTAAATGTTTGAACAAAATTTCCTACACAGAATATGCTAGTCCTTTTGAAAGCATTCAATATTATAATTTACCACTGCTTTCATTATTGTAAATGTATTTAATATCTTTTTTACATTAAGAATATCCTGGTCAACATTTTAGTTTCAGGTTCTCTTTGCCATCTTTGATCCCCAATAACAGCATGATCAGTCCAGATTTTTCACACAATAACTAACTTTTGATGCAGGATTGCAATTTATTTGTGAGATTTTATCTTATGATATCAGCTGTATATACAAAGTTGTGCTCTCTAGTTCATTTGAAACTTAGTTAATACAGGTATATGTAAAATTTAGGAAATGTAACAACTGAATGTTTACAAACCTGTAAGATAGACTATTTCTTTTTCAAGTAAGTCAATTATATGTGATGCTTCCATTGCCCTGGCTGCAATAAACAATAATTATAAATTACACATGTAGATAGAGAAAAAAATGTTAACATCTTTTATTCAATTGCTTTCATATTGACAACACTGTACAAATTTTTAAATAATAAGATTTTTTTTAAGAAGGGTAATTTTTTCAAAATTATTCATAACATTCCAGCATGTACTTGAGTGCTAACTTCAATAAAGTAAACATTGATATTTCAGTCCTATTTAAAAGGAGTAAAAAGTTAGTACTGCCAACAGATGCTCCCCTAACACCACATTTATTCACAGAAAAGGAAAATAAAGTGGCTGGCATGTATTTAAAGGGTGCAATTGAAATAGTATGCTTGGCCAGATAAAGAAAATATTTACTTTTTTGGTGATTTGTTTTTTATGTCTTTGATGTGTGCTGATCAATTAAGTTAATATCTGGTAAACTTATGTAAACGATTGACATATTTAATTGAATACATACATAACAATGTTGTAAGTTTCCAGAATTCAAAAACATTCTATTGAAAACTACCCATTATGTTGGAAATTTTATTAAAGAAATACCATTGTATTTTTCTTCTATAATTAGAAACAATGACCTTGACTTTGACCTTTTGACCCCAAAATCAATATGCTTCTTCCTGTTAATCATATCTTTTATCTACATGAGTTTCATTCTAATTAAGCAAGGGAGTCTGCTTACCATCAATGTTCATTTTTTTTTCTTTTTTTAGTCATGGTGACCTTAACCAAAATCAAAAGGCTTCTTTCCTGCCCACAAATCTTTTATCTGTACAAGTTTCATTCCAATCAAGCAAGGGATACTCAAGTTATCCCGAAATCCTCAGACACATGGACAGATAAACACATGGACAAAGCAATTACTCTATGCTACCAAAAAATATTTTCTGAGAGCATAAAAATAGATGACATTCATTGATTACACATGAGTAACATCTACATTCTGTCTGGTTGATATTTTCAAAATGTTATGAGACAAAAAGAAGATGGATGAGGGAAGTAAAATGATCGCAATAGCTCAACTTCAAGGCAGGGGAATAAACAAAATTTTTATATTGATTTGCAGCTATTTTGTGTGCTATAGGTACATCTTATACTTTTTATTTGTATTTTCACTTACCATCAGGAATTGGATGTGAATTAGAAAGACTGCTAGCTCTGGAATGTTGGCTATATCCACTCTGCTGTGTTCGTGCCACTGATCTTTCACTTTCATTACGTGATAACTTTGGTGTCATTCTAGGATCACCTGAGCGGTGATGAGATACTTGACTTTGAGATCTTGCAATTTGAGAAATGTTTTTGTTTTGGTCCTCATTCATTGACTGTTGAAGATAACTTTGTTCACGACGCATTGTATCACTATTCTCCTGATCACCATATCTCTCTTGATCTCTGGAATGTTGTCGTTTGTGAATCTGATATGGAGGCGGAGGCCCACTATCTTGTCGTGTGTAAACAGGCCTGTTACTTATAGAAGTTTGACTTCCATGAATTTGAGACTGATGAGCTTTTCCTGACTGTTGGTAGTCCCGACTCAATGTGCTTGCTGCTGAAGGGAGTTCATGTAAATGAGGTGGTTGCTGATGATGTGATTGACGAAGCAATGTACTTGTGGCTGAAGGAGCTTCATTTTGTTGTGCTCCCTGCTGATAATGAGGTTGACGACTTAATGTGCTTGTAGCAGATGATGGCTGGTGACCATCATGGTGATATACATGATAAGGTGGTTGGGACTGAGGGGAAACTAGTGATCTTTGACTTTCATGTCTTGAAACATTTGATTGTTTAGGAATGTCACTTCTCTGTCCAACTGATCTTTGACTGGGGTGTCTTGACATATATGGTGACTCTGCTGGACCCCCCTGATGTCTAGACATATAAGGTGAAGGTGGAATATCTTGCTGTGACCTTGAACCTTGACCCTGTGCATCATGAGGTGATGGTGGCTGTCGAGATGGTGGATCTCTCTGCAAGGTAGTGGCTGATATTATCTGTTGATTTGACACATTTGGGAAATTTCCTTGTTGTCTTTGAGACACTGGAGACATCTGGCTTTGGGAACGTCTAGCAGACAATGGTTCCTGTCGTCTAGACATATATGGAGATTCTGTTGGCAAATGGGAATGAGATGCATGAGAAGACTGGTGATGCTGTTGATCTGGATAATTCAATGATCTCTGACTTTCATGACGTGAGACACTGGGATTGTGACTTTCTCTTGACATGTCTTGTCCTGCTTGTTCCCTTGAATCTGGATAATTCATAGAACGTTGACTTGCATGTCTTGTTACTCTAGGATCATACCTATCACGAACTCCATCAGGTACATTTTGATCTGATGATCTTGATTCGTAAGACAGGTTCTGTCTTGGATCACTTGAAAGACTGTACTGTGGATACGACTGATGTGTGGAATGGTCACCAGCAGCATGTCTAGGAAAAGATTCATTGTGAAATGAACTTTGTTCAGGATGTCTTTGATTTCTTTCCATAGCAAGATTATCCACTTTGCCCAAATAACTACTGTTTGATGCATTTCTGTCATCACGATGTAATTGGTCATGTGATCGCCTGTCATCTTCTCCTCGGCGTGATACATATGGTGAAGGCTGACCTCCTGCCCTTTGTCTCCCTAATGAATACTGTTGTTGATATTGTTGGTCATGGCTTTGTGGTTGAGATAGTGAATGTTGACTCGTTTGACGAGACAAGTTCTGAACACTTCCCTGGTACTGCATTCTTTATTTCTAAAATAAAAGAAACAGATGTAAAAGCAATTTTTTGTTTCATGTCATTCCTATCCTAATGGAAAATAGCATATGTGGTACAAATTTATAGTTTTTATCAAATATTATTCAAAACAAAACCTCAACAAGTACAGTAAAGACAGTGATTCACTACAACTGGTGTTGAGTGAATTATTGAGATAGCTGGTGAGTGGTGATGTGAAGCGATTGAATTCTTAAAAATAAATATCAAATACACAGAGAAATATTCTTGATTTAATGAAAATCTCCTTCTTTTACTGAGAAAAAAAAACACCAAGAAGACATTTTTTACTGTATCACTTTGTGATTAATTGTTGTTTGCTTAATGTCCAGTGCAGAATATTTCATGCAGGTCAAAGTCCAGTGTCATCTTGTGTGTATTGTACATCATCTATATATACAAATGGAATGTAAAGGCACTGAAAAAATAGAATATCAATGGGTTTGCCCCCAGGTGACGGACTTAACAGAATAATTGTCTTATGATTCTGCAAATTTTTTAACTAGAGCGCCTCCTGTGTCGCTCACTTAGGTCTATGTGCATCTCCAACAATGGACCCTTTCCAACATTGTGGACTAGAATAAACGTGAAGACAAACATCCCTTTTTTGTTGATAATTTTTTCAAAACAAAATTTATTTTAATGTAACAAACCCTTATTCTAGAAAGGAAATATGTGTGTACCAGTAAATGTTTGTCTTTTTATATAAAATCATCAGATTTGCTACTATTTATGTAGATAATGGACAATAACTCTTCCTCATACACTGTAAATAATTTTACCTGGCTGCTCAGGTGACAATATTTATGATTTATCATAAATTAAGATTTATCAATATTTAATCTGTCATTTTATGACCTGATCACAGGTGATACCATCGTCAATAGTGCATTACGTCTATCACAATACAGTATTAGTTTGCTATGAGGGGGGTTTAATCTTAATGGACAAAAATTTCCCATCGCCAACCTGAATATTTTCCACATATAAATGCGATGAATACTTCAAACACTTAAAACAGGCCACTCAATACAATGTGTAAAATATAGTTTTGTATGATAGAGCAATGAAAAGACGAGACTACAAAAAACAATTGTGAGTGACTAGCAAGATAAGTTAACAGTCTATATCAGGATAGGAACTTTTTATTTAGATCTTTAGTTGAAAGTTTATCCCTTACTGAACTGTTCTTCTCCTAACTTACGTGTTGTACTGCAATGTTGTACATATATAAAATTAAAATTCTCCTAACCTGTGAACTTCTATGAGTGTTTCTAAGATAAAACACTTTTGGTCATTAAAACTTTGAGAGGATTAGTTGGGATAAGGAACATAGAGATATGTATGACTATAAAGTCCTGTTCAAACTGTATGATGCATTCTAATAAAGATGTGACATTGGAACTTTTTTCTGACCTATTTCTTTTGACAAAAAAAACTGTAAAAAAATGCCAATGTATTATGATATTTTATCATTACAATGTACATGTATTAGACATATTTCATCTGAAAATTTGGTGCCCTTGATGAAAATTTACAATTTAATCGTTTGTTTTATCTTTGAAGGCACAAACATTTTACATTTTATATTTGAATATATGTTTATCTACATTTATGACAAACAGACATTTAAAGCCAAATGCTGTGATTCAGCTTAGGGCTTTAATAAATAATGCTGCTGGGTTGATCAGGCCATACAGTGACAATTACTCTATATATGTCAATGAAGACCAAACAGTGACATTAAAATGCTTGCTTTTGTAAACTAATGCTGCTAGGTTGCTGTCTCAGTGACATTAACTCCACAGATGTTAAAGAAGGTCATACAGTGACATTAAAATGTTGTACTTCAAAAATACACATTTAAATATAATTGCATTGATAACCAAGCACATACACAATGCAAGCTACTGAAATATATATTTATATGGCTGTATCCTTACCTTTAATTTAAAGTTTTAAATCTATAACTGACATCGGAATCTTTCACACAAAATTTAAAATAATTCACAAATAATGTACTTGTATGCCAGCCTATATGAAATAAAACTTTAAAAAGTAAAATACTCATTAATGCATTTGCATTGTAAAGTTGATGTTTTATACCTTAGTATGATAAGATACTAACATGTATTTGCATAATTTGTATTATGTAATCATGTAATGTCTCTTTTTATTCAAAGGAATGTTAGAAGTGTTCTTACATAGAGCATGTTTTTCTTTAATTATCAGAGTTTCAACTTCATGAATATTCATTGAATTAATTTCTTTCTGATAATAATACTAATATATATAATGAAAGGTAATCCTTCTCCCCAGCATGGTGTTAATAATAAGCTATTGATATATATTTATATACATGATCTATGTATTCAGGATACAGTGATCATTTTTTTTACATTATAAGTTTCAATCTTCAAGTGGTTCGTTTACATACAAGATGACCGAATATTCAGACAGAGATATTTTTACTAAGTTGTCTAAATAGTTTATGTGGGAAGTACACAAGTAACCAACTCAAATCACTACTACTACCTGTTGCTACTTAAGGTTTCAGGTACATATAGATATGTAAATAGTGAAACAAGATAAAAACATATACTAATACTTTTACTTACAGTTACATAATAAACAATTTGCATTTAAATGGAATGCTAAAAATTTCAATCCTATAGTTCATAATTCCTTTAACCATTTACAGTTATCTTATTATGTTTTGAGAAAGTCCCCACAGGTATAAACAAACTTTTACATGGCTTATGCACAGTCTTAGGGCAGACTAAATAAAATGACACAATACTACATAAGTAATAGTTATCAGACTGATCAGGTTAATTACAGGTGTTTTATATATATATATATATACCTACATGTTTAAGGTGACTGCTTCATTGTTGCTGTTAGCTTGCCACTTCCATGTAAATGTTTTTCTCCAAGTTCAGTGGCCCATTCAAGTTTTTACCTGTGAAGAATTATAACATGGTGTCATTAAAATACTTCTGGTAAATTGTTAGCTATTATTACTATTGTTGTCTGAAGAAGTAGGAGGGATTGATTAGATCTTGATGCCCCTAAGTACAAATCTATTCTAAAGATTTTTGAAATCTTTGGATAAATATATCATCCGAAAGCGATAAACATGAAGATGAAGACAGCTTTTGTTTTTACATGTATTTCATTTACTTTTATAGAATCATAGTTTTCTGTATGTAAACCTGATAAAGCATAAATTTATATTGGCCTTAAATGCAAATATTCAAAATATACATTATACATTCATAAAAGGAATTCTTTAGATGAAAGAAATCCACTAAAATTAATATTCAAAACCACAACTCTGAGACGAATCAAAATCAATTTCATTCATAAAACTGCCATTAGAACTGAGGGTGGGAGACAAACTTTTTTAAATATTGTCTTATAGTTATATGCTTTATTATCTGTTTTTTTAATTCTTGTAACAAACTATTTCAAGTGTTTCATGGCAATGTAACCTGGATTTGTGTCTATATAATCATGATAATGAACTCTTAGCAAATATAGATATAAAAAGGTGTCTTTCCAAGCAAGTTCTGCTGTCTTCTCAAATATAAATTCCACATCTTGGTTTATTATATAAGAAAGCATGATAATTACATATACATATATGATTAAAATGTAATATTATTTTTGGCCATTGAGTTGTTAGTTTGTTTTCGATCTATGAGTTTGACTGTCCCTCTGGTATCTTTCGTCCCTCTTTTTTAACAAGGCAAAGATGATCTGAAAGCCTGCAAGGGAAAAGTCAATAACAATATTTGGATTTTCTTATTTTTAGGAGGAAACACTGAAACTTCTGAATGTTTTCATGGGGAAAAAATTAATTGTACCTGAGCTGATTTTAAACATTCAATAAATGTTTAAAACTTCAAGAACAACTCTTCATTTTACGTAAAACACCTTGATGACTTTTATAAAACCCTGCTTTAATACAAAGATAAATATTTATGTTAGCACATATTTCATGGGCCTTACAACTTAACTGGTAATTAAAAGTTATGATGTAACATTGGATCAAATACATAAATATTTTTAAAGTGTGAATGAATGGACTTTATTAAGATCAATGGTGATAAAGTTAAGGGATCATTATATAACGACAATGAGAACTTGTGAACTTCTACTGTTGTTCAAAACAGTCAAGAACTGGCACTGAGAGTGTCTTGTTTTTTTTATAATTTTCAGTCTTAATGACATAAACTTTAAAATTTAAACATTTTCCTCAAAAAAGGGTGCCCAAACACTTTTTGGGATTTAGGCTCCTATTACCATGTTTCCCATGCATAACTATAGAACCATTCAAACATGTGAAGCTACTGATTCGAACTGATCAAAAGGATTCCTGGTGAATTAAAGTTGCTTCTTCATAGAAATCTAATTTCCCAATTCTTTTATGGTATTCACCCAATACATGTGATACCAATGAGAAACAATAATGCCACAAACCCTACAATTCACAATGACTTACCATTTTAGAACCAAACTTAGAGGGATCTAGACTATGACAGGGTATCTAAATAACAGTCCTAAATGTAATGTGCAACCACTAGACCCAATATCTGAGAAAAAAATATCCATAATCAGTTCTCATACATTCTGCACCATTAGCCACTAGTCCGATGCCCCAGACTAGTAAAATTTTATTCGGACTAGTAAGAATTTGCAAAACTTTGCTTAGACACACAAGAAAAATGTCGGAATATTGGTCTTCTGAATAGCAGTTGGAAAAGATTTTGGTGCATACTGCTCATACAAACAAGACCAAGACTGGGTATGGACCTGCATAACTGATCATTCCCAGACCAAATATTAAAATCATTCACTTCAATATAAACCAAGAAAACATTGATGAAAATTTTCCTTGTACAATGCGTGTTGTCACTCAAATTTCAAACTATTGGCAAACAGGTAGTGGCTTCATGGCAGATGCAAAAATTGGTTACTCACTACAACTCAACATTATCAAGCTGTAGACCAAATCATTCCCTTTCATAGAAGCCAAGAAAATTTCATGAAAGCTTTCTTTCTTTCGGATGAAATCTAGGGATTACTTAACCTGCTTTAGCCTTTGGCGACACAGGCAAAAAGAACCTAAAATAATAATCAGGATCATTATTCCAAATTTTATCCATGTTACTGTATACTCTTATAGATCAAGTAACAAACACTTAATCAATTAACCAGATCAAAGGAAAATCATCTGAATGTGTATTCAACTGATAAAGATCAAAGCCATAAAACTATGTGTATAATAGTTTGTATACACCTGTATACATGTATATGTTTAATTAAGATAATCATTATTATGTAATGGTATCAATTTAAGAATATAATTGATTATTTAACAAAAATACAAATACAAAGTAAATACATTGGGACAATAATAAAATTTAGATTGTTTGATGTTGCCTACCTACCCACCTAAAAAGCAGCCTACCATAAAAATTTTGTGACACAAATTGTTTCAAATTTATTTTTTAAAGATTTTTTCCTGCTCTAACATTATTTTCTTGTCTTACATGCAAACATGTAACTAATGTTGTTGGCCGAAAAAAAAATTCGCGAACTACCTACCCAACAGTACAAGGCATGATTAGGCAACATCAAACAAAAAATTTCTTAAAAGTGGCCTTGGATTTATCAATTTACTATGTACATTTGTTGTAGGTATACCACAAATTTATGGATGTTCAAGAAATAATTGCATTACCCATTTCTTTTAATCCATAAAAAAAAGTAAACAGTACAAAATAACATAACAGCAAAATGTACACACAGGTTACTAAAAAATAAATGGGGAATGTGTCCATGGGACACAGATGATGCCCCCGCTTGCATATCATATAAAGTTATAGAGGGACACAACTAAAGAATGGTAAAAGTGATGCTACCCAAATTTGTACTTGATCTGAGTTTTGTAGTAATAAGTATTGTGTATACCCAGTAAGTTTCATAACATTTGGTTGAGGCCAACTTAAGTTAGAGAATGGAAACAAAAAATTCATCAATTTTTACATTTGTAAAGGGGCATAACTCTAGAACAGTAAAAGTGATGCCTCCAAAATTCAAAATTGATCTGTATTTTGAGGTAATAAGCATTGTGTATAAGTTTCATAACATTTGGTTGAGGCAAACTAAATTTAGAGAACGGAAACAAAAAATTCAGCAATTTTTCCATTTGTAAAGGGGCATAACTCTAGAAACTAAAGTTAGAGAATGGAAACCAACTTTGGGACGTACAGACGGACGTAAATACGGACAAGGGTAAAACTTTATGCCCCCTCCACAATGGCGGGGGCATAAAAATGATAATTCAGGATTGTAAAGATTGCCTTGTCACTGAAATTATTTAGTAAACAACATACATGTACTAGTATGTGTAAAAAAAAACTTTATCCCAGTAGAATTTGAATTCAACTTCAGTGAGGAAGGACCCTATGTAGATGTGAAATGAACATATTCATATGATGAAGACATAATCTTTCAATCAGTTTAATTGAAGTCTGGAGCTGGCATGTCAGTTAACTGCTAGTAGTCTGTTGTTATTTATGTATTATTGTCATTTTGTTTATTTTCTTTGGTTACATCTTCTGACATCAGACTCGGACTTCTCTTGAACTGAATTTTAATGTGCGTATTGTTATTCGTTTACTTTTCTACATTGGCTAGAGGTATAGGGGGAGGGTTGAGATCTCATAAACATGTTTAACCCCGCCACATTTTTGCGCCTGTCCCAAGTCAGGAGCCTCTAGCCTTTGTCAGTCTTGTATTATTTTTAATTTTAGTTTCTTGTGTACAATTTGGAGTTTAGTATGGCGTTCATTATCACTGAACTAGTATATATATTTGTTTAGGGGCCAGCTGAAGGACGCCTCCGGGTGCGGGAATTTCTCGCTGCATTGAAGACCTGTTGGTGACCTTCTGCTGTTGTCTGTTCTATGGTCGGGTTGTTGTCTCTTTGACACATTCCCCATTTCCATTCTCAATTTTATTTTTATTTAAACTGAATAAAATATCAATGAAGCACAAGAATTCTAAAACAAAAGTAACTGATACTACTCTGTTCAAGTATAAGGACTTTGTCTGACAAGAGAAGTAGCAGCTATATGAGAACTTTTTCTTATAAAATAAGAAGATAGCAAACAATTTTATAAGGACTTAATCTTACAAAAAAGTACACTTACGACAAACAACTCTATAAGGAATTAATTTAACAATAGAATTAGATCGACAGACAACTGTCTAAGGTATTTGCAATTGTAACAAAATAATTTAATAGTACATGTTGTAAGACCAACAACTCTTTTTAAGGACTTTATTTTACAACACTGAACAGATATAGGTATAAAGAAACACCTCAATAAGGATGTTATTGTACAACAGATATAGGTATAAAGAAACACCTCAATAAGGACGTTATTGTACAACAGATAGAGGTATAAAGAAACACCTCAATAATGACATTATTGTACAACAGATAGAGGTATAAAGAAACACCTCAATAAGGACGTTATTGTACAACAGATAGAGGTATAACATCTCAATAAGGACGTTATTGTACAACAGATATAGGTATAAAGAAACACCTCAATAAGGACGTTATTGTACAACAGATAGAGGTATAAAGAAACACCTCAATAATGACATTATTGTACAACAGATAGAGGTATAAAGAAACACCTCAATAAGGACGTTATTGTACAACAGATAGAGGTATAACATCTCAATAAGGACGTTATTGTACAACAGATAGAGGTATAAAGAAACACCTCAATAAGGATGTTATTGTACAACAGATAGAGGTATAAAGAAACACCTCAATAAGGATGTTATTGTACAACAGAAGAGGTATAAAGAAACACCTCAATAAGGATGTTATTGTACAACAGATAGAGGTATAAAGAAACATTTCAATAAGGACGTTATTGTACAACAGATAGAGGTATACAATGTAACATCTCAATAAATATAAGGACGTTATTGTACAACAGATAGAGGTATAAAGAAACACCTCAATAAGGACGTTATTGTACAACAGATAGAGGTATAAAGAAACATCTCAGTAAGGACGTTATTGTACAACAGATAGAGGTATACAATGTAACATCTCAATAAATATAAGGACGTTATTGTACAACAGATAGAGGTATAAAGAAACACCTCAATAAGGACGTTATTGTACAACAGATAGAGGTATAAAGAAACATCTCAGTAAGGACGTTATTGTACAACAGATAGAGGTATAAAGAAACATCTCAATAAGGATGTTATTTTACAACAGAAGTACTTGTAGGTAAGAAAGACAAATATTTATTGATCGTTTGATAAAAATCTTTAAACTATTTAAATCAATAAAAGTTGTGTTCCTCCAAGGGAGGAATTTAAATTTAGCTTTGTATGTCAAATATATTTCACAAGACATTCCAGTTTAAATCTTCTTAAAAGATCAATTAAGTCATTATGTATACATATATTCAGTTGTTAAAACCTTTTTCAGTCACAATAAAATAACCAATTTACCCTTTTATATTGTAGTCCTCCCTTAAATTCTATGAAAACAATTTATCATTTTTTGTTTGTAAAATTTTTACCGTTGCCCTCACAAATCCCGAGGTTAATGAAATTATGTACCCTTGACTTTAAATAAGTATATAACAAGTACATGTACAAAATGTAGCTCAAATTATGCAAATTGAAAGTACAGGTATGAAAAGGCCACATTTTTATTTAAAAAATCGAAAAAATATTATATAAAATCTATGAGGCAACATCTTTAAGATGTTCACAAGATATGTCTGACAGATATCAGTTTAGATGTTTTAAATTGTGTCTTAGGTGTAAATATTTGGTTCAGCACTTCAAACTTCTTTTGAAAAAAAAAATTTTTTTTTGACCATTTTATGCAGAAAATGATAACTTTTTTCGGGCATTTTCCCGGTTTGCCATGCTTATGAAATTCACATCACATTCACGCCCAAACTCCTATTTTGTGAATACTTGTGGACTTATAGTGATTCGGCAAGGGAGGAGGCTATGGACCGCTCAAAGTCCCCAGCTGGTCCAGGGTAACATCCTAGTCGGGGATCCAGGGCAGCACCGTAAACGGTGGTCCAGGGAAGCGAATCCACATGAAGCTCTGGGCATATGAGTAATTACAGTCACTGCTTTGAACATGAAAAATACCCTATCTGTTTTTTACTATACCATATTTTCATGAAACGATAGTAAAAGTCTAGTGAGTTCCGTAATTTGCTGCTTATATTATTAACATGGTTATTTTCAAATATAAAAATTTATAAAATGGGAAGATCAGGAAGAGTCGACAACCGAAGCGTTAATCAATGGACAATTGACAAACCCGGGAACAGATAAGACACAAAAGGAGAAACTAAAACATTCAACATTGAAAACTAAATACAGATGAAAAACACGGACCCAGAAAACAATGTGGCGACCTCCGGTGCTCCAAAAGGGTAAGCAGTTCCTGCTTCTTGCAAAACACCCGTAGTGTGTCTCACGAAGGTCATTCTCAAATCAAAGGAGAGGTTTCTACGACAACAGTAGAAGGTCATTTGGGACACAGATACCCCAGGTGAATCAATAGTCTTTTGGACGAACGGACAATGGGAATACGAAATCTAACGGCCACTTTTAAGTCTTGACTTATAAGAAAGGGATATAAATCTAAGATGTTTTCAAGGTGATTGTATTGAGCCTGTATAATTAAATGTTAATACTGCATGTAAGACTTAAAATATAGTTAATATCGAAAGTCCATATATCTATTTTTTGCCAAGGCAAATGATCGCAGAACTCTCTCGGTGTTGATATCCATTTCTTTGTGAACATGTATGAGCGTGCCAACGAAGATAGTCTGTCCTGTACCATGGTTGAACGGAGATAAGTTTTCGGTCGCCTTAATGCACTAAATGACCGTTCAGTAGTTGATGTAGTTACTGGCATTGTAACTAGAATTGAGAAGATTGCGAATATTGAAGGATATATAGTTCCTTATAAGTCACTGCTACAGACGACATCAGAGATTTGGGCTTTAAACACCGCCCGACACGATAATCTGTAAAGACTAAAGACTATCTGTAATTCAATTTCAGAATTATTTTTTTTTTGGTGAAAAAAATGTGCAAGCAAATGATTTTTTGCGTAAAGGCAGCTACGCGCCTGCGTGTGAAAAATGTCTATTATCAAAATATATATATAAGATTTGTGTGAAATTTTAAGGGGAGATAATTCGCTGCAAAATAACAATTAATATTATAACGCTTGAAACATTTTTAAAACATTCTGTGTTTGCATATTGTATTAAGTAATTTTCAATTCACTTAATTATCTCAAACAGTTTTCTTACAGGGGCGTAGCTACCCGGAAGCATGACAGCACGTGCATCCACGTCTTTATCACCAAAAAAAAAAAAGAGGAGAGAGAGAGAGAGAGAGAGGGGGGCAAAGTTAACTTATAGGAATTGGTCTTTCGATCTATGTATGCATTTTAAAAACTACACAAAGAATAAAAGCAAGAGGAATAAACATGCAGCGAAATTTTTAGTCCCGTAAGACATGTTTGTGTACGATAAATAAATACAACTGGTGTAAACATAGTGGAACTTTTTATATTACGGACATTGTTTAGAAAAACAGCTATATAATTGTCGGTACCACCACCATAACATATACTAGCCTTGAGTGCAAAAAACAACATATAATCCCTTTAGGGTTAACAAAAAAACTTAAACATTATTATTTTCCGTTTCGCCCCGAAGCACACATCTTACAAGAACGAAGACTCTTCAACTCGTATTGATCCGGGAATAACGACTGTTACCTTGTGAACTAGTTCAAAAATTGACCAAGTATGTAGGTCTTGACAACACGAATACTTCATTTTCACATCACAATACGTATTCTCGTCCTGGTGTGCATGTAATATTTGCTACTGGACATTAATAACCATTCAATCAATCAATAGTTTCCGTAAACGAATAGACGAGAAGTTGGAACTGCTGTTATTATAAAAAAAAGTACACATTTCCAGTACATGTATTATGTTTTTTTATTTATTTTACAAAAAACATCTTGTATACTGAACTATTTGGTCATTTAATTTTATAATGAATTTTCTGTCCGAGTTGGACACTAAACTGCGGATTCTTGTTCAAACGAAACACCAAACTTTTAATACACGTCTCTTCACTGTTATCATCTAGATACTGCAATACAACTTGTCGAATGCATATGTATTTGTTAATTAGCTGGATAATTAACAAACGCAGATCATGAAAAGATCGTGATCAAAGTACCATTCTCTCTGAAAAAGTTCCTTAATTTCAACTTCGAGAATTCCTAACTGCGTAAAATAAGAAATTCCTATCTCTCTCTTGTAGAGTTTACCCACAGAATTTTTAAACATCAAAATACATATGTTCAGCAAAATATTGGAGAATGTGTCCACCAAGTATTTGGTATCCAAAGATGTTTATGCTAACAAATTCCACATATAGTATTGTGTTGATGTTTATTGTTTGTTTTTTATCCATCTACTTTGCCCAATACAAATACTAGCATATGGAACAAACCTTCGTGATTTTAAAAGCTCTCATGGCGTACAAAAAAGGCAAACGGCAATGTTTAGTCTTCATTCGACTAGAAGTTAAACAAATAGTTGACCAAAAAACCACAATAAAAATATACAAGTTTTATTACGGTTGTGATTGTTTTGAAACGCTATAAATTCGGATTTTTCGGGCCCCCCAGACCCCCCGCCCTTAGTTTGTGATTCCACTTCATTAAAAAGGTAGCTACGCCCCTGTCTTATTTACCAGAAACTCATTTCAAATTTTATGTGTGGAATGGGGAGATAATCCAGATATCAGTACATATATGTTTTGACATATACGATGTCTTTAGACTTGGTAAAACTATTTTCGTTGAAAAATAAACATGAGGCCCGTACCACTGTCATGTGTTGTTAAACTTTCTCTGATAAAAACATAATGTTACAACAATTTCGCTGTAATAACACACACAACTTGTGTCACAGCTAGCGTCTACCTTTGCCGGTCGGGTTGCAGTCGATCTCGAAGTACTTTAATTAATAGTACGGTACTGTACAAATATATATTACGCATTATATCCAGATATTCATTTGAGCTAGGTGCTTACCGTGTACTTGTTGTAGTCTTCTGATATGTTTTCTGTTTATTTCAACAGATATTAATATTCCAAAAGTTTTATTATCGTAAAACACCTAGACTCAATCATTTAGGTGACACTGATTGGCTATTCTGACCACTAGATCTACTATTATTTTTAGTTGGACTAAACTTTTACACACTTTCTTGAATACTCTTTTTAAACCAAACATTAAAAGAAATATCTTCGAAGCGGTTAATTTGCAAAGAAAGCAAGCTTGGAGACCTACAATAAAACGAACACCATTGACACGGAGGTCCGGTAAAGACTACTAAATAGAACAGCCAGGTGCGAAAAGTAAAAATAGACGTTCCCAAACGTTGATGACAATGGGTTTTTGACCAAACAAGGATTTGTATAGTACCATATATACATCCCTGGACAGAAAAATATAAATTAATACATAACACCAAGGATGTTTAAAGTAACTTATACAAATCCTTAAGGGCATACGATACAGTTTTGATCCCATAATGAAAATTTGATGAAAATTTGCAAATAGGCTATTTTTTACCTGATTAAATCAAATATGTAATAAAAAATATACCTTCATGTGCTACTTGTTGAGTAAAATTAGTTCGAAATTTCAGATATTTGCTCAAAATTCGGATTTGTGGACGTATTTTTCCTTCCGACAGAAATGCATTACTTTTTTGTTTTAAAAGATAAACACAAGCTGTTTTTTGTTAAATTATTTGTAATTTCTGTTTTATATAAGTATCCTATATGAAATCTTTTGTTTAGAAATAACTCAAATTTATCAAATGTTCATGAATGTAGAAAAAAACGTCATTTTTTGCTGTATGTTTATCAAATTTAAAAAAATTGCATTATTGACTTTTTCATGAAAATTAGTACAAATAATCTTCATACGTAATCAAACCGAATGTCATTTTAAAAAAGAGGGGTCCATGAACTCGTTTTCAAGTTAAATCAGTTTGAATGATAAAAATCAGTCGAAAAAAACACCTTTTCCCGATATGTCACAGTTTGACGTCGCCAAAATAACATTTTACGTTAGCAACGTCATTACCTCCCCTGTAACTGTATCGTATGCCCTTAATAACACAAAGCTTTTCTTAATGAAATAAAACTATAAAACAGTTTTGAAATATAAATATCTGGAAAACTTAATCATTGACACATCTGGAAAATCTCTATTAAAACCCATTTTGATGTCACTCTAGCTGTTAACTCAGAAATATGATATGCTACATCATGGACTTTCCTGTAAAATTATTAACGGTTCTTCAAAGGGTAACCGCAGGACCGTAGCTCTTAGGGAGCTGCCATTTGATTTTTATGTGGGGGGGGGGGCTAGGATGAATAACTTTGTCCTGCATTTTTTTTAGTTGTAATATTCGGTCCTGCCTTTTTTTCTTAGTTTATCCTGACATTTTTTTTTACATAAATTGTCATCCTGCCTTTTTTTTTTACTCAAAACTCCTGTCCTGCCTATTTTTTTTCAAATTTCAATCGCAAGGCTTTTTAGTGATAACAACAACTCTCCGTTTCTTTGCCCAAATCCCTTCATTTCTGGGCTGGTACTGATTCGCGGTTCTCCGTTTTGTGGATAATATATGCTTGCAGATCATTTTTAATATAAAACACGATCTTTAAACATTATATGACAGGGTAATTCATAATATAATAAAATTCATCGCCTAATATCTGAATGATAAAAATTCAGACCTATCTTGCCTCTCTTACTGCTAAATGCATAACTAAGTCACAGATATACTAGTATTTTATTTAGATTTTACAACATTTTGTCATTGTTCGACGTTCATTTCCTTCAGGTTAAGAGTGGTTTAAGATGGATTTAGGTTGTGTTTATTTACTAAATATTTTAATCTAATCTTCGAAGTTTAAGTATTCTTTAAAACCATACAGTTTTAAAAAAACATGCACGGCACCAGGTGAGAATTTCGACAATTAATGTCTCTTAGTGATGCCCAAGGCCAACATATTTCAAAATCCAAAACTGTATACATACGTTGGAAAGCTGATACAACACCAAAAAAATGACTAATAAGAGTTATGAAGAGGGACATTTGTTTTACTTTTTTATTTCGGCATACCAAAATTGTTTAAACTCATTTGTGAATCTTAAGTCTTTCCAATAGAGGTAGACAAAGCGCCCATACAATCGAATATTCTGTCAGTTTTGTCTCGTACCGATATTTTGAGTTAAGCCAATTGCATTTAATTTTAATAGCTTGTTCTTATGTTATGCTGTTACACCACTGTCCCAGGTTAGGGGAGGGTTGAGTGCTGACAAAAGTGTCTGACCACTCCCCATTCTTTGTCCCAGGTCAGAAGCCTGTAGTTCAGTGATTATCGTTGGTTCTTGGGTGTCATATGTGTTTTTTCGTAAATTGTTTTGTAAACTACGACGTAAGTTTTTGTCGTTTGAATTGATTCACAATTTTTCATGTCGGGGCCTTTTATAGCCTACTGTACGGTATGGGTTTTTCTCATTGTTGAATGCCATAAGCTTACATACCTATAATTGCTTATATTTACTTCATTTGAACTCTGATGGATTGTTGTCTCATTGGCAATCATAACACATCTCCTTATTTTCATATTGACCAGTATAGATCCTTTACCATATGCGGAATTTTGCAGACGTCGAAAACAGCATTACTTTGGTGATTTAATCGCTCATGTCTGCACCCAATGATATTTTTGACAAACTATAATCTTGATATAATTATTAATTGATGATGGCTGTTTAACATCCAGCGGCAAATATTACATGATATTCAGGACGATAATATATCAATGAGATATGAAATGAATGTACCCTGTTTAGTACTAAACGGACATATTAAGTCAGATTTCAAATGTGCTATAGCCAACAAAGAAATGGTCCGCATGAAGACTAATTATCACCCTACTCAGACAATTTATGCCAACCCCAAGCCGACAAAACTTAACTTTTACTTCTAAATGCCTAGTACTCGGCGGAGAACCAACACCTATAGCAATTTTGAGTTCCATCGGTTTGATCAAGCCTGGGATTCCTCTCGCACTCAGAGCGAGCACGATACCACGAGACTTCCATTGACCTTGTTTGAAGATCTAATATAGTAAGGGTTTGAATAAATCCTCCGCTGGACTGTCGTGGACATAATTGTCAACCCTGTCAACGGTGCTAGGGGCCTTCTTAAACTTGCAGTGAGGTGAGAGTTTATTTTTTTTTGTTGCTCCATATTGAAGGCCTCACTGTGACTTTGAGATGAAGAACAGTAATAAAAGCGCTGTCCCTTTGCTTATTATGGGTCTTTTTGCTGTGCATGTACTGATTTTGTGTCATGGATGGATACCCCATATCCTTTGTTTTTCTATTATATATAATATATCTAATATAATATGAAATGATACTTTTCTCGTGATTCTGACTGATGCATGTTGATAGTCTGAATATTGAATATGAAATAAATGGCACCACAGATGCAGCTAGGTCGATCAGATTAAAACTTGACTTTAACATAGAGATCGACAATGATTCAAGATTATTCAATGATATTCCCAATGATGATTTGTCGCAACATTCCAGTAGCATCTGGTTTACCGTCACGTGTCATAGATAACTACGGACATGTTTCACTGGTCGTATACACATGCCGTTCTTTCCCTATATATGTCATGACTTTTAAACGAGTTTACGAATTATCAACTGATTTTTACTTGCCATATGCAAAATGTAAAAAATTATTAATCGTCTAGTGCACCTTTGTTAACCCTGGTTTTGGTTGAGTTCGTGTTGGTTGACTAGGATTGCCAATTTTCCTGCCGCCGAAGGTCGGTGGTTCTCTCCGGGCACTCCGGCTTACTTCGCCAATAAAAACTGGACGCCACGAAATAGCCAATAGTGCTGAAAGTGGCATTAAAACACACAAAATCAATCAATCACAACCTCAAAGTTGACAGACTAATGATCACTGTAGATGACCACTCGGCCCCGAAGCCCCCTTTCTTTCGATTATAGATTTGTTTTTCATTCTTCGACAACTGCTCTTGGACCTCCGGAAACAGTCAAATGTTTCCAGTCGGCGGAGAAATTTTTCTAGAGTTAATAATAAAAACTGGCATATTCAAAGTGTACATTAGTTGCCATAATGTTTTATTCTTATATTTAATAAGTTTTTGATATTTGTATTATTATTTCGTGTTTTAAATGGAGCATACCCAGTAAAAATGCAATATCTTCCCGAGAAAAAAATCGATGTTCTTTCAAATTTTTTTTACACATAGATTTGCTTTCATCTTCATGAAATGACGATTCAGAGTTCAGTAGTGTAGTTTCAATTGAGACAGTGAGGCAACTGCATCGCTAAATTTTGGACAATGAACATTAAAAATACTTAATGTGGATCAATAATGTTGTACTACCCATTGTTGGCAATAGTATATTGTTATGGTCTGTTGTAGAATATCATCAAACAGGATGTGGTATTGATTGGTCAGTAGTAGAGAATTTTTTTTACCGGCGCTATAATTATATTCCTCATTGAATATTTTGTAAACGGATAAACTTTTTGGATCATAAACAACTCATGACCTCGAATAAACAATTGTTCAAATTGCAAATGTGTCAACGAATCTCCGATCTATTGCTTCCATTGGACTGCTATAAAACCGTATTCAGAAGCTGACAAATAAAAATCAATTAAAACCAAATAATCAAACAAACAAAGCATCCTGGTCTCTTGTCACAAAGGTTGCCTTACGGTGACACAATGATAATTATCATGCTACGCCACTGGCTTTTTCCAAGGAAAACTTCTCTGTTTGAAACTAACCAAAATAACATGAACAAAATAGCGCTACTGGGGAAAGGGTATGTTGGATAACGACAGATCTTTTTTCCCTACAACAGGTCACCTACGGACTGCTCAAAAAGTTGTTGCAATAATTCCTTAACGCAAAGAGAGCATTACAGTCTTTACACACGAGGCATTGGATTTATCGTTCCCATTCCACCGGGTCGTGGCTCTCGGACGCCCCTCTTTATCACGGGCTTTCCTGCTGGGAGCACTTCAGGTGACAAAATTTGCATATCAAATCAACCC